TTTGTTTTGTTTGTTTTGTTTAATTTAAAATAATTTAATTTAATTGTATTGTATTTTATTTTATTTTATTTAACTTTTTTCTTTTAATTTAATTTAATTTAATTTAATTTAATCTAGTCTAATCTAGTTTTGTTTTGTTTTGTTTTGTTTAATTTAAAATAATTTAATTTAATTGTATTGTATTTTATTTTATTTTATTTTTCTTGCACAACTTTTTTCTTCATGAAAATTCCACATGCAGAAGTAGAAATGGTCCGGTCCAGTTTTTGATTAATGAATGGTTGTTATGTACACTCTGGCATTTATGAGTATAAATTTATATATTTTTGTCTACTGTTACTTGTTCTAAAAAAATCCTTGATTCATTTAATATAAATGAATGTATGCTAATATATATAATTACAGCGAGATCAGTATTTATTCATATAAACATCAGTGTTACCCAGGTTACACAGAGGGATTGTTCTTGCATTATATACACTGAAAATACAGATGTGTAAGACTTATTTCGAAACAATTTTCACTCAGAAATTGCTAGTAAATTTCACAAAAATACAAAGAAATGGCAACACATTGAATTTAGGACTGAAACAGTATACTCTTATAAAACATACTACAATAATCTTTCTTTTATTTACAATTCACAATACAAATATTGATCTGGCGATTAGTGATTGTGCAAACTATGCAAACGAACAATTAGTTATATGATGCAAATGCAACCGGTGACTCTTGTTTCATGAATAGTCTCCTGTAATGCCATGTCTGATGTGTTTTAAATCAATGCATATCAACATATAACAATATACATATGCATGAATATCATCCAACACCATCAATAATCAAACACAACCGCTTATCTGTCAGTGTCACGCTAGAAAGCCATACGAAACAGCCATTGTTTTTGCTTTCAGCTCATTTCTACAGAATTCTACTGGTGAAAAACAAAGAAATGTATCAAATAATGAAATGTAACATTTATGAAATGTCCTTATACTCTTATTAATATTTGATAAACACTCTGCAATCAACATTCTAGAACTTCCTTATGATGTTTTTTGCACTTGATGAACATTCTAAGAAACGTTTTTTTGTAACCTTTACATAACATTCTAATCACAACAAGAATCTGGACATTTAAATGTTCTTAGAATATTAAAAAATAAACATGGAAATAACGTTACATTTTGGGCAAAAATAAAGTTAGTCGAACGTTATAAAAAAATTTAACCGTTAAATAATGTTCCACAATTCATTGAACAGTAAATTCTATATTTAATATTCTGTATTTTTTGTTACTCTGAAATAAGACTTTTTGTAAGGTCACTTAGTTATTCATTAATCATAATTATAATTATTATTATTAATCACGACACGAAAGACGTTTCAACACTCTTAGAATCTAAAAAAAATAACGTAATATTTTGGGTAAAAATAAAGTTAATAGAATGTTTTTGTAATCTTTAAATAATGTTATAATCACGACAAGAAAACTGGAAAACTTTTAATGTTTTAGAAACATTTCAAAACAATGTTAAGTCTTTATAACCTAACTTTGTTACCTGGATATTGCATGATTTTTGTCAAAAATATGTTTTTTTTTTTTTACTAATGTTACGAAAACGTTAGTTCTGAATGTTCAAAATATCCATATTTTAATGTTTTTTTAAAAAAAAATTCTTGATTATACAGACACATTCCATTTGATCATTTAGCAAACATTATGGGAATGTTACTTTCGAATCTTTATAAAGTAGTTACGCTTAAAAAAAAAAAAACGCTAGACGAACGTCCAACTAAAATGGTTCCATGAATGATGTTTAAATAATGTTTTTGTGCTAATGTTTCGAGAACAGCAGATAACTTTGAAGGACCGTCCGGTTAATAGTTTCTTGGTTTCTTGGTTAGAGCGAGGCGTAGAGGCCCAGTCTCCTGGCCGTCTCTGATTTCCTCAGGCTCTTCCTCTGAGGGAAGGGGTAATATTTGGAGCCTGCAGGTGTGGAGCGATAACTCCCGAAGCTCAGCTGACGGGACAAAACCTCCGGAGCCAAGAACTTCCGAGAGTTCAGATGCTGGTCTCCAGGGCTCCAGGGTTCTGCCTCTGAGCTGGCGCTGGAGGCTTCAGTAGACGCGTCGCTGTGGTTCCTGTGTTCGGATTCATCAGTCGTGTGATTCATACGGTGCGTGTCCAGATGAGAGCGCCACAGGCCTCTGTCAGAATCCACCACAGACTCAAACAGGCTTTCTGGTGCTTTTGTTAAAGGAGAGCGTTTGATCTGACGCACGGGAACCACGTCCACTAGACTTCTGCCACTTATCTCTGCACTGTTTTGTGCTGTAGATGAACACAAGGTGACAGTGCATTTGTTAAATTTCCCTGCTTACAAAAGACTTCATTGAGGCTCATACGGGAGACTGGGGCTAGTTGTCACATGGGTCGCAGATATGAAGTACAATAAATATCAATAAAACCACACTGACAAACATTAGGACAAGAGTCAGCTACTGTACATAATGAAGACTGAACTTAAGTTGAACTCAGGACAGGAGTATTTTACATAAATATCTAGGCGGGGCAAGTTGTCACATGTTGCCTTTGATTTTTGTTATATTTTCTGCATATTGATAAAAAAATTTCCAGGGTAATAATAATGGAAATTGTATTTATTTATTTATATTTTAATTTGTAGCATGATTATTTTAGTATAAAAGAGATACTATTATAGTTTTTATTAATATTTTGAATTAGTTTTATTTTATATATTTTCTGTTTGCATTTTAATTTTAGTTAAAGTTTTATTAATTTTGCTGTTTTTGTGTGATTTTAATATATATATATATATATAATTCCAGGTTTAGTTTTAGTCATTTTAGCACACCAATATAAACTAAATGAAAATGAGAAATGTTGCCTTGGTAACTAGCCGAAACAAAATAATTTAAATTTGTAAAATTTTGTAAATTGTGTAAATTTTTACAATTTGTACAATTTTGTAAATTTTTTTACATTTTTTAAAATTAAAAAAAAAAATTTAAATTTTTTTTAATTTGACTTCAGTCAAAATCTATTTTATTTAAAGTAACAAAAATTGATTTCTTTTTTATACATTTTTATAGTTTTAGGTTTAATGTGTGACAACTTACCCCCATTATATGACATTCTGCTGTGTTTATAAGTGCAAAATTTTGTAAATTGTGTAAATTTTTACAATTTGTACAATTTTGTAATTTTTTTTACATTTTTTAAAATTTAAAAAATTTTTTTACAATTTTTTTAATTTGACTTCAGTCAAAATGTATTTTATTTAAAGTAACAAAAATTGATTTCTTTTTTATAAATTTTTATAGTTTTAGGTTTAATGTGTGACAACTTACCCCCATTATATGACATTCTGCTGTGTTTAACAATAAGTGCAAACGATTTAAACGCAATAAATATTAACTTCAAAACAACTCACAACAGGTTTATTCATTTATGCAATTATTGTATTTGGCTAATGTTATAAAATTTTTATTTCTGTTCTCTGAACGTTCAGATTTGTATAAAACATCTTTTGTTATGTGAACGTTCGAGAAAACATTACAGGAACATTTAGTCATTTTGCAAACATTAAGGGAACGTTACTTTTGAATGTTCTCAGGCTTTCTGAAATGATATGCCTATTAAAATATTTCAGTAAATGATGTATAAATAATGTTTTTGAGAACGTTAGATAACTTTGAACGAACATTCTATTAATGCCTCTGAAAGAATGTTTGTTCGTAACCTTGCCAGAACCTTCTGAGAACGCTTCCTGTTCGCTGCACACTCAAACCCAAACATCATTTCTTACCTTTCTTGAAGCAGATGAGCTGAGTTTGGCGTCTCTGCTTCTCTCTGATGGAGCTGTATTGCTCTTGTAAGAGCTCGATGTCCATTCTGACTCCGCTCTGGTCCTCCTCTTCTGTCCTGGTCTCTCCACACACGTCTGCACACGTCAGATATGAGCAACAGCACAGCCACATCCTGAGAACAGCCAGAGAAATCTGCTTTTATTGCAGTAGAATCATAAATGCAGCTTGAGACTGTCGCTCCAGGAAGAGAAGTTAGCATCCTCATGAATATTCATGAGGCGAGGCTTCGCTACAGTGTTAGCGCTCGATGGCGGGATGTTTGTGATCTGAATGGTAGGAGATGGTAAAATTGTTTGATTTTGCACTTCACGTTGTTTTGAGATGTTTCTGTTTCTGACAGGCGATTACGCTCCGATCTGCAGCTCTTCAGTTTTCTCTCAGATCGCATTTGCTATGTCAAGAAATGATGCATTATGAATAACTCTCTGATGACTTTCTGCAGAATATTTTCCCACTTGAATCATCCGTGTATCAGATGTAGACGGGACGTTTGAGCTGGAATATTAAACTGTGAATTATTAAGAAGCTTTCAGCATAGGCGTAGCTTGACGTTTGAGTTTGGGGGGGCAAACCGAACCGGTGGATTTGGTCAGACGTACTTTTAAACACATTTTAGTTTTGCTATAGTAAATCTACATATTCACATTCACACAGGGCAGTGGTAACAGGCCCCCCTGGCCCCCCCACAAGCTACGCCTATCTGTGTACCTGAAGTCTTTATCACTAAACTGCATTGAATCGCAGTCATATTTAATTAATTGTATTTTTTATTATGTATTTTATATAAATGTTTATATTAATAATTATTATAAAATGTCTAAGTCCTATATATAAAATATTTATTTATTGTGTTATATATTTATATACTTTATTTTACATAATTTATATAAATAATGTTTTTATAGTATATAAAAACAGTATACTTTATAGTACATGTTTTATATAAAATATATTTGTTTATATTAATAATTATTAACCATTTTTATAAAATGTTTTTAAGTCCAATTCAGCAATTAAAATATTCAGATATAATTAAATAATTAAAAATTGTAATATAATAATATTATACTTTATACATGTTGTATTATAATAGTTAAATATATAATTATACGGTAATATAATTTATAGAATTTATATGCATTAAAATAATATTTTCTAGTATATATTTTATTAAAGAATATATTTTTATATTTGTGTATGCATATTTAAATTAATGCCAATTACACTATTATTATAATACATATATTTTATATAAAATATATTTGTTTATATGAATAATTATTTTCAAATATCTTTAATTTCAAATCATTAAAATATGCATGTCTTTTTAAATTAATATAAATTATAATATTTTATATGTGTGTGTATATAATTTATATTTATTATAAAATATTATTTAATATTTGAATCTTTTATAAATAAAATAATTTATTTTTTATTATATGTTTTGTACAAAACATTTTTATTAAAATAAAAAGCAATCATTTATGTGTGTGTATATTTAAATTAACATAAATTATACAATTATGTAATGTTATTATATATAATTATATAAAACATATTTGTTTTTATTATTAATTATAAAATCTCTTTAAGTCCAATTCAGCAATATGTATGTATATTTAAATTAATATAGATTTGAATCCTTTCTGTACCTGAAGTCTTTATAGCTCAACTCCACTGAATCTCATCTTCATTTAATCAGTGTGTGTGTGTCTTTATATGAATGTTCGGGGATGAATCTGATGGATATATTTCAGAAACAGTGGTCGCAGTGACTCCGGTGACCTGACGCCGTCTGCAGCCGTTCTGGTGAAATACATGACTTTACCTACAAAAATATAACAACTTTAACATTCACTGGAGACAATCCTGGTAAAGCACAGCGTTTCTGTCACTGTCAGCCTAATGCATGGACCAGGAAAATATTAAACTACAAACATGATTGTACAGTGTCTTTCCACCTCCTATCGCTGCTGAGATCTTGTTGACTGTAGATGGCAGCAACAGCATACAAACACATCAACATCAGTCTATTTCAGTCTTTCATTTTAGAGTCTGTAAATATGTACATATACAAATGTATAGTATGTAGTGTGAGTGTGTGTCTGTGAGAGTGTGTAAGAGTGTGTGTGTGTGTGTGAGAGTGTAAGAGTGTGTGTGTGAGTGTGTGTGTGTGTGAGAGAGAGAGAGTGTGTGTGTGTG